TGTTTACTTCACCCTCCAGTTGAAATGCATCTGAAGCTTTTCTGATATTCTAATAACCATGAAAATAAGAAAGTCAGGGTTGTCATCAAGAGGAAAATGACAACACTAAACAAGCAAAGACCACCAACCTCTGCAGAAAAATAAATTAAAAATAGGAGGAAAGCTTTTTTTAAAAAAAGGGTTTCGAATATTTTTAAAATCGACTTACATCCCCTACAGATGAAATACATCCGAAGCCATCGAAATAACCAACATCCGCATTAACACATGAAAAAAAATAGGAACGACAGGAGATAGCGTCATCTAGAGAAAAATGGCAAACCAAAAATAAGTACGAGCATCAACCTCTTGAAAAAATTATCATGAAGGAGTTTTTTCTAGGTAACGACAGATGACAGCCCAAATCTTGTACTTAGATGGAACATTGATTAACGAAATTAACACAATGATAATGGAGTAAGATAATGGGTTTGGAGAAGCCCTGGCTTTTTAATAATCAATCTCGGCATCAACATTACCATATGACGATAACAGAAAATAGGAATGGCCAAAGGTAGTTGGACATCCTACGATAGATGGCAACATTAACTAAACAAGGACCCCAAATTTTTGCACAAAAAATCAAGGAAGCGTTGTTTTTATGCAACGATAGATGACATTCGCATCACCTAAGAGAGGCTACAATAGACATTGATAAACGAAACAAACACAAAGGAAGGTAGATGGCGATGCCTTGTGAAAGCTCTATGCTTCCAAGAGGAGTATCAGGAGAAAAATATCATTCTACCGCCAAAGGAGCCAGTAAACGTTGATATTAAGAAACTAATATCTGTTGTAGATCTGACAAACTGCACAAATATCAAAAACTATCTGAGAGATTATGGATTATGAGATTAACGGATATATTTAGTTTCGATGTCAAATATACAGGCTCTCAAGGCATTGTTATTAACAAAACCCCACATTGGGCGCCACATTCGATCTAGTTAGAATAGCTCAGGTCTCTTACATATTTAAAGGGGCAAAGTACATCAAAGAGAGACATACTTGTTGTATGGAGTATATTATCCGAAACGACCTGAGTCTTACTCGCCCAACGGGCTTATAGAACAACAGATCCTTGGAGCTTGGAAGGCTATTTCAAAATCGTCCATCTTCACAGCAAGACCATGGAAGTGAAAAGGTGAGAACATTTTCGCAAGAAGAATCAATAGTATTGCACTCGAAGGCAGGATTGGGAAGGATCAAATTTCTTACATGATTGAAAAGTCAATGCAAATAAATGATGATGATGTGTAGAAACTTAGACGTTTCCACGGCAGTGGAATTTATGATCCGAAGCAATCCGAACCATATTCAGCCCATTGTGTCTTTGTTCTTCATAATTAGACCATGAACCCAAAGAGATTGAAAAATGTACGCAAAGAGAAGCCACAGCATTGTACTCTGGATATACAATTGAGTTCCGAATTTTGAATTGGTGAAGGCATGGATCGACGAGAAACATCTGATCGAAGTCCTTGGTCTTAAAATAGGAAAATTATTATAAGACCAAATACATTCAATGTCCCCCATTGCCCATTGTGTATAACAATAGAAACAACCTCAAATTCTTTGATCTTAGCAATAAGACCATGGGTGTGAAGAGAACTTTAGGGAAGGTTAAGCGGTTCTGTGAATTGGTGAAGGCAAAGCTCGACGCTAAGGAGAAACCTGTGTTAGAAGTTTTTGTTCTTCAAATAGGTCTGATAAAAGCTATTGGCCAACAAAAGAGGCGTTTATGGTTAGTTAGAAGACACAATGCGATTCCAATGGATAGAAGGGGTCTACTATGGTTAGAAGATCAAAAGGGTCTTCTGTGGAAAGAAGATACACTCTAAATATAGAAGACTAAAATAATTTTTTTTTATTAATTTCTCTTTCGAGATGAGCTACATGATCGGAGTTGCAATGAAAAGGAAAGCCAGAGAGATACTACATTCCCACCACTGTGCGATGCGTTTCGCCGTTGGTTAAGCGGCTCATCAGGCATAATGGGCAATGTGGCTTACAAATGTCTTTACTTGATAAGTTGTATTTATGTCGAATATTGTTGCGAAATTGCATCTACGAATTAAATTCAACCGTGTCAAAGTTCGGACATTTGGCATCACACCGGAACATTCCTTTTCAGAGCAGATTTTCTTTGGATAGAACTTGAACCTGAAGCCTTTCTGCGGATGTATAGATGACCCATGATTTTTATACCCTTCACCACACTGTGGTACAGGGTACGGGGTCTTTGTGCATATCTTTGTAACAGACAAAAGGAAAAGAGGTAGACACATGGTTCTTTTTGAGAATATGCATAGAATCACTTTCTGAGTCGATTAACGCATGTCCGTCCGTCCATGTATTTTTGTGAACAAAGTACAGGTCGCATTTATGAATGAAGTTTGGCACAGGTCACTTATTTGGCCCAAGGACGAACCCTATTGAAATTGGGAAAAATCGGTTCCGATTTAGATATAGCTCCCACATATACATTTTCGTCCGATTAAATGTAAATGGTGCACCAAAGTCTCTATATATATATCTCGATTTGCACGAAATTTGGCACAGCGTAATGAATTAAGTCTAGAATGATGTGTGTTAAGTTTTCTGAAAATCGGTTCATATTTAGATATAGCTCCCATATATATTTTCGTCCGATTTAATGTAAATGGTGAACCAAAGTCCATATATATATTTCGATATATATTTCCTATATATATTTCATATTAGAATGATGTGCGTTAAATTTCCTGAAAATCGGTTCAGATTTAGATATAGCTCTCATATATATTTTCGTCCGATTTAATGTAAATGAAGTACCAAAGTCCCTATATATCTTTCAATTTGCACAAAATTTGGAATAGCATAATGAATTAAGTGTAGAACGATGTGTGCTAAATTTTGTGAAAATCGGTTCAGATTTAGATATAGCTCCTATATATTGTTTCTTCCGATTTTATGTAAATTGTGCACAAAAGACCCAACGTTTTTCCGATTGCCATACAAATTTGTACAATAAACTGAAGTTAATATAACCTAGCGTTTGGAAAGTTTTGAAATCGGTTCAGATTTTGATAGAGCTCCTACCAAGAACTCAAAATGTGCACAAAACATACTGCAATTAGTAAAACTTAACCTTCAAGAAAATCGGTTTACATTTCGATATAGCTTATATATATATATTATATATTTTTAGTAAATGGTTTACCAAACTATTCATATTTTTGTCCCATAATTTTGTCCCATTGTAAGAAGAAGAAGTATAGTTTGCAGAATGACATGCTTTTGGATAATTTTTCATATTAATGGTCCTTAAAAAACTCGACATCTGTTAGGATTCATCTATTGAATATACCCAAAGTGGTGAAGGGTATCATATAGTCGGCCCCGTCCGACTTTACTATTTTCCTTACTGGTTTTCTGTGGGAAGATTGCCAATGGATTCACTTCTTGGATCTTCTATATTCAAAAGGCTAGAATATGGATACAAGACCAAATACCAGTAGGGGTTTCCATGTGGATCTCATAGAAAAACTGTTCTTCGTAAAGAAGATAAACTGGTAATCCTATATAAGAGCAGAAGGCATTCTCATAAAGAAAATTGTCTTTCTCTTAGAATAACATTTGGGAATTCTAAAAAAAAGTGTAGGTCTTCTCATGAAATCAATAGGCCTTCTTATAAAAAAGAAATTTATATTTTCTTAGGAGAGCACTTGGTCTTTTCATTGAAAATAGCCTGGAATCGATTGAGGGCCTCAGTGTCATTAAATAAGGGCCTATTATAAGAATACCTCTTTGTAGAAAACTTAATTTGTCTTTTACGTATAGAAGAGTTAGGAAGTTCAATACCACTTGAATATGGGATTTTTCTTATGACGACATTTTTTCACACTAAATTCATAATGGGATTATCTCCTTGCTCGCAAAAATATGCTAATTCATGGCGAATAATTCTAAAAATTACAACAAACGTTTTCAAAATGCGGCTGAATGATTTAACAGAATTTTTACTGACAACCACCCACTATTCAACTATTTGGAAGACTTTGTTATTGCCTCATCAATTAAGATCCGCGTACAAATTGTCTACCATACGAAAAATTTCATTCATTAGGGAATTCCCTTTATGTTTACTGGAAATTCATCAATCTTCCACCCATAAACATCTCTCAAATTCTTAACAATATTTGCAAAGATGACAAATCAAAAATTTAATTTACAAATTTCCAATTCCATAATTTTTTACAAAAAACAAAAAATCATTTGTCAACAATTTTACATGAACTTCTCCAGCTATAAAAATATTGAAATTTTCAATTAACATCACAGTTTTCAATTATCAGTTAAGCGATTAAGAACAAAACGTTACAATGAAGATAATAAAGCTGGCTGTGTTGCTGCTAACATTTTTCGTCTCAATGGCTGTGATATTGGAAAGCGAGGCCACCTTCAGGCGCAGGGTGATAATTGTAAAACCAATCCCGGTTTATCCGCCGCCACCACCACCACACTTTCACCATCGTCCTCCACATTTTCATGGACCACCACCACATCATCATCATCGTCCACACCATGGAGGTTTTGGATATATTTAAAATGATTTTCCGCATCAAGGACTATTTGCCAGGATTTTAGGACAACTAATTTTTTGTATAACAAAATAGAGAAATATATTTTTTACAATTTTATAATTAAGGGCAAATTATGGTGTTTCATTTCCTGGAGGTAACAGAATATCAATGATATGGTATTTGATAGCATATAAAGGTAAAGGAGCATCATATGGTTAATTATTTATTGAATACATCCTTGAATCTCTATTAAATCCCATTTGAGATCACTTCTTTACCAATTTCCCCTCCCTCTTTTCAAAATAAAAAAAACACACTTCTCTTCTTAATATCTAATTTTCTGAAATTTTATCACATTTTTCTAACTTTATTACTTCTTCTTCTTCTTCGATTCACCTTCCTCTTCACCATTCACTTTTAACATCCACCGTGACAGCCTTGAATTCTTGATCGCTTAAAAAGTGCCATTTATAACCTAAAATTTGTGATACTTCACGTTCGACAGCCTCATAACTGCGGCAGGAACGTCTCAGCCAAATGTGAAATTCATCCGACCACTCGGGATGGCGGGGCCAATCACAGCGTATAATTGTGGCAAAGCGACGCACATGCAGACGCCTCAGATTTTTGGCTGTTCGGGCTATTAGCAACACCGTGGAGGTTGATACCTTTTCGCGAATAACCTGCAGGAAAAAAATGATTTCATTTAAATTGTTTTGCAAAGCGATATTAGGGTGTTCCGCTTACCAAAGTATTTAAATTATAACATTGTCGGCACATCAGCAGCATCAGAGAATCGATACGATTGTGAAACGATTTGGGACTGGTGAATTTCGGTAGCATTTCAAAACTATAAATGGCCAGGGAGTTTTTGTAGTGATCAACCATTTTGATGAGGGTGTCAGGATGGATCTGAAAGGGGGAAGGAAAGAAAAAAATAGAATACAAATTTTAAAATATTTAAAACGATTTTTAAATAATTTCTTTCAAGACCTTCTCAAGGCGTGGATTTATAAAAATATATTTTTTCGAGACCTTCTCAAGGAGTGGATTTATAAAAATATATTTTTTTTCGAGACCTTCTCAAGGCGTGGAATATTTTTTCGAGACCTTCTCAAGGCGTGGATTTATAAAAATATATTTTTTCGAGACCTTCTCAAGGCGTGGATTTTTAAAAATATATTTTTTCGAGACCTTCTCAAGGCGTGGATTTTTAAAAATATATTTTTTCGAGACCTTCTCAAGGCGTGGATTTTTAAAAATATATTTTTTCGAGACCTTCTCAAGGCGTGGATTTTTAAAAATATATTTTTTCGAGACCTTCTCAAGGCGTGGATTTTTAAAAATATATTTTTTCGAGACCTTCTCAAGGCGTGGGTTTTTAAAAATATATTTTTTCGAGACCTTCTCAAGGCGTGGATTTTTAAAAATATATTTTTTCGAGACCTTCTCAAGGCGTGGATTTTTAAAAATATATTTTTTCGAGACCTTCTCAAGGCGTGGATTTTTAAAAATATATTTTTTCGAGACCTTCTCAAGGCGTGGATTTTTAAAAATATATTTTTTCGAGATCTTCTCAAGGCGTGGATTTTTAAAAATATATTTTTTCGAGACCTTCTCAAGGCGTGGATTTTTAAAAATATATTTTTTCGAGACCTTCTCAAGGCGTGGATTTTTAAAAATATATTTTTTCGAGACCTTCTCAAGGCGTGGATTTTTAAAAATATATTTTTTCGAGACCTTCTCAAGGCGTGGATTTTTAAAAATATATTTTTTCGAGACCTTCTCAAGGCGTGGATTTTTAAAAATATATTTTTTCGAGACCTTCTCAAGGCGTGGATTTTTAAAAATATATTTTTTCGAGACCTTCTCAAGGCGTGGATTTTTAAAAATATATTTTTTCGAGACCTTCTCAAGGCGTGGATTTTTAAAAATATATTTTTTCGAGACCTTCTCAAGGCGTGGATTTTTAAAAATATATTTTTTCGAGACCTTCTCAAGGCGTGGATTTTTAAAAATATATTTTTTCGAGACCTTCTCAAGGCGTGGATTTTTAAAAATATATTTTTTCGAGACCTTCTCAAGGCGTGGAATATTTTTTCAAGACCTTCTCAAGGCATGGAATATTTGTTCAAGACCTTCTCAAGGCGTGGAATATTTTTTCAAGACCTTCTCAAGGCGTGGAATATTTTTTCAAGACCTTCTCAAGGCGTGGAATATTTTTTCAAGACCTTCTCAAGGCGTGGAATATTTTTAAGTCCTGCAAGTGTTAGGAAACCCCTGAATGTGTAATACAAGACCATGTTGGGCGCATGGGTCTTAATAGGCCTGGGGGTGTTTCACAACTCACCTGTGTCTTTGGCGCTCTATAGGTTATGCTATAGACAGGAGCCTCGGGTTGGAAAACAACCTCGCCATCCTTCAAGGACTCCAAGCGCAGGTGGACCTTCAATCCGGGATTATCACGTTTGACCATGCGCCAAGCCTTAACACTACAATGGGCAATGGCCAAATAGGAGGTAGTATAACAGTTTTGCAGTAAAAATAAATGTTTCAATTTTGTGTCGGCCAAGAGCATCAGGACATCATCATCTATGTTTTGGGGGGAAATTGTTAATTCCTGGAAAGGGCAAAGAAATAAAAAAATGATTCTTTAGGAAAAAAAAAAATTACAAAAATCCTCTCCCTCACCTGCAAATTCAAAAACAACCCGACATGCATAATCGGGCAATGCAACGATGTGACATTCACCAAATTCAGCACCCTCATTTTCGTACAACACGCATCCAGCACCTCATCTAATAAATGTTTAGCTTCATAACGTTCCAATACAAAATCCACCAATTTCAGAGTTCTCAAATTTGTCAATTTCGATAAGAGATCCTTCAAACCCTTCAACAACTGGCCACCAGTACCAAATAATTTAATTCCCTCCGGATCATCAGCTTGTGCCATATTACAAGGGAAAATATAAACCAGCGAACGTATACGTGAACCCATTCCCTTCATATCCTGTGGCCCATTGGGTTCCAAGCCCCGACTAATACTCCACGTCAGCAACGTCATAAACTGATAAATATTATTAAATGAGATTTCCGGACGAAATTCCAAACCACGCAAATGGCGCCCAATACGTGCCAGGCAATTTTGTGTGCGCATATGATCGAGACAGTATTGCCAACCGGAATAGTAATTGTATTTTTGCCGTGTCAGCGTACAATCGTCGACAAGGAAGTTGTCCCATACCGTGGGCAAATAGAACGCACGATGCCATTGTTTACAAACCTGTGAAGAAACAAATTACAATTATTTCAAATTATATGGAAAGGGGGTTGAGAAATTTCTTACTGACTTACCAAACTTGCATAGTATCGCTCTCTCGGCTTTAGATATGTGAATATTTGTTCTAACACTAAATCTGGCAAATTATTCCATTCTGAATAGACCCGATTTTCTTCATCAATGTCGGATTTTTTATCATCATCGTCCACAATGTCTATGTAGCAGGCTGTTAGGGAATGGATAGATATTTTTTAGAAATTAAATTAGCAATTTTAGAAATTAAATTACTTAGTAATAAAGTATGTGAGCATTTATAAAATAGAATACGGGAAATGGATCCCGGGTTCAATTTATAGAGGAACTAAATAAAAAACTCTTCCAAAGGGGGTTCCTCTACCTGTAGGAGAAACACAAGAGATCTTCTCTCTTTAGGATAACATAAGTATAAAGGTATTATATCTCTGAAAGACCTGCTTAAGGAAGGACAATATGAATTGTTATAGAAGACGATTGGCCATCCTATTGAAGAACAATTTATAGAGGAGCAAAAATAGAAGAGCGATTGGGACTTTTTATAGAAGATAGCCTGGTACTTCACATAGAAAATACTAGAGCGTATGGTATTTTCATAAATGAACAGTTGTTATTTTTATAGAAGAGCACCTTTCCAAGGAGTGGACTTTTTAACATTATTTTTTTCAAACCTTGTCTGGACAAGGATTTATAATGAATATTTTTCAAAAACTTTCCGAGGCTATGATTTTTGAAGAATATTTTTTAATACCTACCCGAGGTGTGGATTTTTTAAAGATTTTTTTTCAATGCCTATCCGAGGGGAGTATTTTTTCCACGCCTATTCGAGATGCGATTCTTTAAAGAATATATTTTTCAATACCTATGACCGTTAAAATATATTTTCATAATAATATTTTTCGAAACCTATCTGAAGCATGGATTGTTAAAAGAAAATTTTAAACTCTATCAGAGGTGTGGATCTTTAAAAATATTATTTCAACACCTTGTCTGTGTATATATGATAGTAGGTCTGTAGGAGGTCTACGAAGACTCTATCATCCATTTTAAATCTTTATTTCGGGTTTGATCTATAAAAGTCATATGAAAGGTCTTCTATCTATATATGATCCGTAATGGCTGTTAAAAATGCCTCTTATCTCGACTTTTCGTTGGATGGCAAAGGGTCAGCTCATAGAATAATAACTGAACATCTCAAAAAGAGAAATACGGCTTCTTAAAATATGGACCGGAGAGCAATTACATCCTAGAAACAATTTCGGCCTTTTCATAGAAAAGTAATCGGTTATCTTAGAGATGAGCAATTTGTCCTGATCAATAGATCTTCTTGTACAAGAGAACGATACGTCTTCTTACACAACTACTTCAGATAAAGAACGTTTATTTATTCCTCTCCTTAGAGAGGACCTACTCTAAGGAGAAGGACAATTTGTCTTCATATAGATAACCAATCGGCATTGGTCTTCTCATTTTTATAGGAAACTAAATAGAGCTCCTTAGGGAAAATCAAATGTTAAACAAGATGTCCTTCCAAAAGAAAATATTTTACATGAGCACTTTTTCTGCACTCCACCATGAGATGGAAACTTAAAATGCCTAATCGGTCAGGACCTCCGAGAAAAATATGTTCCAAATTACATAGGTAAAAATTATTTGTAGAAAATTAGGCTAGGGACTTCAACAGCTAAACACGGGGCTATGTCAAAACTGGGACCAATATTGCCAACTTTCTGTGAGCAAGTTTTTACCCACTAACTTTCTGGAACACAAAAGTACAGCCACTACATATGGAAAATCGGCGTAGGATTATGAAAGTATCGAAAATGAAGTGGGACCGGTATGAAAACCTGGAATGTCAAATTTCATCCCTTTCGGCTTGGAAATGTGGTTACAATTTTTAAAATGATAAAAAGGTGGGTAAAAATTATTTTCAAAGTTTTGTTTTCAACCCAAATGGAGCTGTTGCCATATATTCTAGGGATGAATCTTGAATTATTTGATGCGAAAGCAAATTTTATCTGAAAAAAATAAATTACTGAGTATACTTTTAGGTGTAATATGCCCCAAAATATTTAAAGTAGAGTTGGTCAAAACGTCTTTAAGTTCGGCTGGGTTGAACTTTTTATGCACTCCACCTCTTGGTGTGCTTTCAAAATTGACCTAGTATTACATAGCATATTTAATTTTGTATGGTAAATCTAGGTAAATTAACATGAATTTTATAAAAAATATTATGAAAACGGTAAAGCTCTCAATTTGTGAACGAATTTTCGTTATAAATCCTTAAAAGTCGTAGAACTATTCAATAGCTAACGATGGTGTAGGATAACGCGAGAAAAAAATATTTTTTGGTTCTCAGTGGGCCCCCACCGAAGTGAAATCCTGGCTACGTCCCTGCATCGTACCAGATCGAACCTAGGATAGCGTGTTTTGGTGGATTCCACGGTTATTCAAATACGTCCATTTATATATTTTGTTCGATGATTGAAATTAATTTTTTTCATAAATTTCATATTGGTATTTGTATGGGTTGTTTAATTTAGTTCAAATATCTATAACTTCACACAGTTAATTTCGTCCGATATCATTTCGATGGTCTTCCTAAGATCCTATGTCTATTCTATCTAAAGGATATTGTACATATGAGTATCTCTTGTATGTACCCAGAGTGGTGAAGGGTATCATATAGTAGGCCCCGTCTGACTTTTGAACTTTTCTTACTGGTTCTATATTGTTTAAAAATCTGGTTAGGTGTGGTTTTGTTTGATCCCATTTGGCTATAGACTTTACTTTCATTATTGAAAAATTATTTAATACGCTTGGTTTACTTCTTTCTTAATATCTATGATGGTGTGTTGTTAAACGACAACATTTTTTACGTTTTTCAAAATTATTTCAATTTTTATATACGTACATATATTTTTAATAATCTATATGAATTTGATTACCAATACAATTAAATAATCTAAACACAAAACAAGATAAATAAATAAAAATAAATGACAAAATGGACCAAAACACAACAAATCCAAACCTAGAGAATAAAAAAAAAAAATAAATCAACACGATTAAAAAGTCAAATCGTTTATTTTCTTTTGTGTTTCGTAAAGAAAAAAGCACAGAAGGAAAAACCACGAGAGAAATTTCGTTTTCTTTTTCAAAATTTTGTTTTACGCAATATAAGTGACAATAATATATATTTTTCTGAATATATTATTTAAAATTTTCACAATTTATTTGAAGAAAAATGTGCGATCGATTTTTAAAATGAGGTTCATCGGCGCTTTTATTGTCATTTTTAACTACCTTCTTCATTTTCGTCCAGCACCCAACCGGCATTGTGCATAATCTCCTTTCCGGTGCGTAAAGCCAAAGTTGCCATTTTTTGGGGTGTTTGATTTGATTTCAAATGGTCCAGTGAGTGAGGCAGGAGTTGTAATATTCCAAATGGGAGTTATAACTTCTTATTTCAAAATATTTTTTTGAAATTCTGAATTTTTATACACTTTATTTAACTTTAAATGGTAACATGGGTAATCGAATTTTCTTTTTTTTTGTTGTTGTTGCTTAATTTTTCTATTTTAAATTTTCACATTAATTTTTTTTCTTTAAAAAACTTTTTTGGTTTGAAAAAAATTTTTGGCTCGCGATTCTCTATGGCCGCACTGATTTTCCCCCGATTACTTAAACGTACCGCTGCAAAAATTCGACTGCCACACGGAAAAAATCTCTGAGAATCTGCTACCCTTTAGTTTTTCCTTTGGTTTTTTTCAAAGTAATTTTTCTTTTTTGCTGATCTAATTTTTCTCAACACAAAATTTTCGTTTTAGTATTTTTTCTAGTATTTTGAGATTTTTTGCTTAGCATCGTGTTTTGTGTTTATGTTGCTCACCAAGTGAGCAGCAGCAAAAAATCGGTGTTTGTTTTAAAAATAAATTTTTGAAACATTTACAAAATTTTATTTTGCTCGATTTTTTCGAAGATTTCAACCAAGTAATTTGTCGTTTCGATTTTGGTTGACTCTCTCGCACACATTTTTCGAATTTTTCTTTTTTGTCGGTTTTCAAAAAAAATGTTTTCTTTCTTTTTTGTTTTGATTCGCTATATTTGTGTTTTGCTTACTTTGCGAGCAAACGATTAATAGATCGGCAGATCGACCGTTCGATCAGCTGTCTGCTGCTCATCCCCACAATAGAATTGAGATTTTTTTTCAGAAATTGCTTCTTTCACCACATTTTGTTGACATTTCATCCAAACTGCTTCCCCACATATATATTTATTCATTGTTTTGGTTTGCCATTTGCTTTGTTTATATGTATTTATTCCCCTCCACAACTGTTTGTTGTAATTTTATGCGTTTTTCTGTGGTTTTTCTCATTTCAAATATTTTTTATGATTGTTATTGTTGTATTCTCTGGATAATTTTTATAAATCGACACAAGCACGTGCTGCCCGGCATCATATTATTGCTGGTTGTGTTACCCCAATTTTGTTGTTTGTTTGATTTTTTATGAGGGGCGTTTAGCCGGGATCAATTTTTGTTGTGGTAAATTATTGTCTATGTCTGACATGACTTTACAAATGGCCAAAGCCAAATAATTGACGTCACAGGTTGGCGGTTGATAGTTTGATGTGTTGACACATTGGTTGATTAGATTTCGTTTTGGGAAGGGAGATTATTGTGTTATTGTTTAAATAAAATGTAATAAATAGAAATAAAATATTTTAGATTAATTTCATATAGACGTCGGTGAATAGTTTAATCCGCCTTAGGTTGAGACATTGTATGTAACGTTTGAGTTTATAAAACAACTAAGTACTTCCCCCCAATTTGTATATGAGTTCTGCAGTCTGCTCTTGTGGAACTCTCAAAAATTTCAGATATTTAGAAACAGCAATTTGAAACAATTGATGGCGCTGATGTTAACCAATGTCGGGTTCTGCGAGTCAAAGATCTTAATATCCTTATCTTCTTGGTAAAGATATTATAATGCCTCCTTTTCTTAGAGTGTATATATTGATTAGAAATAATTTTGACCCCCTTCATAAATAGAGCCATGAATACAAATGTAAAAAATTAAGTATAGATGTCGCCCGTTTTCGACTTTAGATCAACCGGCCTGAGGAGGCAGAATTCATCTTAGAAAGTTTAGGAAGAATATCTTTTAGAATATCTTTGTGAAATACTCTTATTTGGTCGCCTGAAGCTGTTCCAAAAATAAACTTATTGTAAATAAAAACAATTAAAAAAGTCGTTAAGTTCGGCTGGGGCGAATTTTTTATACCCTTCACCACTTAATGTGCTCTCAAATTTCCTTAAGCCGATCGGGACATAATATTTGCGGACTATGTTATTGCCTTATGTGTTAGTACCAAATAACGAAAAAGGGATGGCACTTTTATGTAGGAATTAAATCCAAACTTGGACCTACATAGACAACCTATATAGACATGGGAACAAATTTGGTGGAAAAACATGTCCAAACCCCCAAAATACCGGTGTAGCATTATATGGGGGCTACCCGAAAACTTGGGACAATACTGCGATTTTCTATTCAATGAGAATTCAAAATATAAAATTCCAAAAAATTAAAATGGGAAGATTTGACACCGCAATATTAACAATATTTAGCAGAAAGATTTACTACCATACCACAATCCAAAATAAGAAAATACAGCCAGTGGGGAATACCCCAAAACATGGGCCAATATTGATAATTTTTCATAGGCAGATCTGATACCAAACGTTATTCCAAAATACTAGATTGCAACTAATTCTATTGAAAAACGTACCTACCTCCAATATATCATTTAGTGGGTGTACCTTTATATGGGGTTACACTAAAAAATCCCTAATATATCGAATATATCCCATTTTCAATACCAAACGTAGACCGATATATCCCATTTTCATTACCAAATATTCTTGAAGTAATAGCACGTATATACAAAATTTCGAAGCCCTATCGAGCTCTATCGAAATTCTTGATCAGAATTTTACTCTGAACAAGAATATATATAATTACTGAGGGTACCGAATATTTCGATGTATTGCAAACCGAATGACTAATTTAATATACACAGAGTCTAACAATTACATTTGATCTGCCATGGACAGACCTCCAAACAGTCGTTATATAAAACCAGTAAGGAAAGTAGTAAAGTCAGACGGGGCCGACTATATGATACCCTTCACCACTTTGGGTATATTCAACAGATGAATCCTAACAGACGTTGAAGGACCAATAACACGAAAATGGGTCAATAAACATGTCATTCTGCAACTTATACCAAATTTTTCATTTGGTCAGATATAGGGCTGCTTCTTACAATGGGACAAAATTATGTAAATATATATATATATATATATATATATATAAAAGCTATATCAAAATCTGAACCGATTTCAATGCTACTTGCCAGAGATAAACTTATATTAACTACAGTTCATTGTACCAAATTGTGTGGCACTCGGACAAACTGTGGGTCTTTAGTGCACAATTAACATAAAATCGGAAGAAAAGATTTATAGCAGCTATATCTAAATCTGAACCGATTTTCACAAAACTTAACACACATCATTCTAGACCTAATTCATTACGCTATGCCGTGCAAATCAAAAGATATATATAGACTTTGGTGCACCATTTACATTAAATCGGACGAAAATATATAAGGGAGCTATATCTAAATCTGGACCGATTTTCAGGAAACTTGACACACATCAGTCTAATTCATTATGATATGCCAAATTTCGTGTAAATCGAAAGATGTACAGGAACATTGGTACATCATTTACATTAAATCGGAAGAAAATATATACGGGAGCTATATCTAAATCTGAACCGAATTTCAGGAAACTTGACACACATCAGTCTAGACCTAATTCATTACGATATGCCAAATTTCGTGCAAATCGAATGATATATAGGGACTTTGGTGCACCATTTACATTAAATCGGACGAAAATATATATAGGAGCTATATCAAAATCTGAACCGATTTTCACGAAATTGCACAGATCAGTCTAGGTTGGCTTCAGTACTCTGTGCCGAATTTCGTGCAAATCGAAAGATATATAGGGCCTTTGGTACATCATTCACATTAAATCGGACGAAAATATCTGCGGGGGCTATATCTAAATCTAAACTGATTTTCAGGAAACTTAACACACATCATTCTAGACCTAATTCATTACGCTGTGCCAAATTTCGTGCAAATCGAAAGATATATAGGGACTTTGGTACACCATTTACCTTAAATCGGATGAAAATATATATGGGAGCTATATCTAAATCTGAACCGATTTTCACGAAACTTAACACTCATCATTCTATACATTCTTCATTACGCTGTGCCAATTTTCGTGCAAATCGAAAGATATATATGGACTTTAGTGGACTATTTACGTAAAATAGGGCGAAACTATATATGGGAGGTATATCTAAATCTGGACCAATTATCACGAAACTTTGCCCACATCATTCTGGATATAATTCAGAACTCTATGCCAAATTTCATGCAAACCGAAAGATATATAGGGATTTTGGTGCCCCATTTATCTTAAATCGGACGAAAATATATATGAGAGCTATATCTAAATCTGAACAGATTTTTCCCAATTTCAATAGGGTTCGTCCTTGGGCCAAACAAATGAGCTGTGCCAAATTTCATCCAAAACTGCGACCTGTACTTTGTTTACAATTTAACATGGACAGACGGACATGCATAAATAGACTCAAAAGTAATTCTATGCATATTCTCAAAAGGAACCATGGGTCTATCTCGATTCATTTTTCCTGTTACAAACATTATGCACAAAGACATAATACCCTGTACCACAGTGTGGTAAATTGATAAAAAGAAAACACCAATACCAAAACTATTCTCAAAAGAGGTCTTTAGGAAGAAGCCATTTTATTGTCCGAAATCAGAAACATATCGCTAATTTGTTGCAAGACCGGCATAAATAAAAAAATCGATTTTGCCGAGAATGCGTTTTAAGCTGTCAATTGACTCACACCTTACAAGAAACGGAGGAACATCTACAGCTTCTCATTCAGAGTGTGAAAAAGTGCTCCAAGCATGTTGGAAATCTTACAAAAAAAAAAAAAAAAATAAATAAAATAAAAATAGACAATCAAGAAATTTGTCTTGCTTAGTATTTTAAAATTTATTTTGTAAGAAAAAAATCTGCGGAATCATAATTCTAGCCATTTACACAACGTATTATTTAATCTTATTTTTATCGAAAATATTACGATCCAAAGTGGAAAATTTCTTCTTTTATCCACAATAAAACTGAATGTATATTCAATTTTTAATGCATACCAATGACGTTGGGCGCCAAATATGGCAAAAGTCATAATATGGTATTTTTAAA